TTTTCCCCACTTTGAAAACTTGGCTCGACAATGGGAATCTGAAGACCTGGTTCAATACGCCATTCGTTTACACCATTCAGGGAGCCTTCTCCGAAACTGCAACGGTTCCACCACCAGGAACAAATTATGACATATGGATAAGAGTCTTCATTAGCAAGTGTGAGGAGAGATTCTGTCGTTTCAGAGGATTCAAGCCGAGAAATCGTCCTTACATTCTAGTTAAACGTAGACCTACGTGCTACACATGCAAGAAGCGCCCTCACCATCCACACAAAAAGTGTCACAAGAAACATCACAAATGTGACAAAAAAGATGACAGAAAATGTGTCTAAAAATTTTTCAAATTTATAAACAATGTCAATCCATTTGAAAAACGACAATTTTACATGTAAAACCAATCTACATCCGAACATTCAATAAAGAAGATATCTTCAGATAATTATTGCAGCAAAAACTTCGAAGTTTTCATTTTAATATATTTAAGAAAGACTATCGGCTTTCATGCAAGAAATAATTGCGGATTCCGTATGTATATTCAAAAGTTTTTTGATTCACTTACGCATATAGGCTAATGTAAAACAGGTATGTAAAAAACTAGAGCTTGTCACCAAAATGGGTTTTGTGTGAATCTCAGCATTTCTGTTCAATCTTCAACAATTCTGCATCAGCTACCTTACAGAGCATTGAATCTGCTGTCTATATAGCGCTGTTGTTGAACAGTGGATGTCAACAGCGACTGTTGGTTACGTTCTTGTGCATGCGATAGATTGTAAGTCACGCACGCCAACTCATACATGCAGACGGAGCTATGTGCGTGCATGTTTATGCCTGTTGAAATTTGTGAACTGGGCCTACAATCTGTCGCATGCACAAGAACGTGACCAACAGCCGCTGTTGACAACCACTGATCAACAGCAGATTCAATGCTCTGCAAACTTATTTGCTTCAATTTTTGCGATATGCTGAAATCGGTTGCCGCAGAGTGCTACTTCGAAGTGTCTGGTGCCTAAATATGTCAGATAGATCTGTGGTCTGACGATGAATTGAATGATGAATTTTCTAAATTATGTTCAAACACCTGTATTCACACCAAGAATACGTTTGTCTTTGCAAAATGATAAAATTTCAAGGAAAACAAATCAGGATAAAGGCTCAAAGATTTAAGTAAAATGCTTGCAACAAACATTTTTTTCAGCGTATGTTTTGGGTTCGATGCTAGTGAATCACTAGTGTTGAATTTGGTTGATATTTCCATGCAAACTTCCACACATTTAGGTTAGATAGAGATAATGAAATGATCGAATTTCGTTGAATTCCCATAACCTAGTCAAAAGTCTCAAAGTCGAAGAAATGTCAAAGTATGCTTTTTAAATATTGCTATGTCGACATTCTATGGCAAAATATACGAACATTTATTTTGGTATTCTCCTACGAAAGGATATTTATATTTATTTTCAGCTGAGAAAGTCATCTATTCTGGGAAAATGATGAAAATGTTTCGAAGCGAATTTCGAGTCAAAGGAAAGTCAAAGGCTATTTTAGCCATGTGTATTGCTTTTGTGTGGACTGAAAATGAAAATTGCATTCAATTTATTTTTGTAAATTATTTTCTGTTGTGATACAAATTTCAAAATTTATCCAAATTCGGAAAGGCAAAAATATTTTCATTTGCATCATACAACTCAATATCGGATGAGCAAATATTGATGAATTTATGGACCAGATTTTTGATACTGCTTATAGATATATGAACGAATTGAAGAACACTTGAGCTAAGCAACAGCTGCCTTAACACTCAGTGACTGAGTTATTTGTGCCCCTTTCGATCTGTAAGAATAGAAAATTTTGACTCTCGTTACAACCGAGGTTTCAGGCGATATTATTCAGTATGGATTGTTTTTAACTCAAGCGAATTTCGAGTCAAAGGAATGTCAAAGGCTATTTTGGCCATGTGTATTGATTTTTGTGTTGACACCCAGCTGTTAAATATAAAAAAGATTCACCCCAGCATTGGCATTGGCTTCGGTTAGCAAAATGGAATATCTAGAAATATACTGAAATTGCAAATAATTATTTATATTTAAAAATACGTCAGTATTCTTTTACGAAAGAAAATTTTTTTTGTCATTCCAAAAAGCGTATAAATACTATAGTGAGCGTATCAGACGGTATCAGTTGAAAAAGTAATCACATTTGATTGATTCAACAGACCAAAATGGCTCGTCCAACCAAAAATACGTCAGTTTTACTCCTGGCCGTGCTGATCGCAATTGCCTTTAGTGGTGAAGCCCAAGCAATTTGGTATCCAGCAACCAATTTGGGACAAATAACAGCCTGGCTCCATGCTGGCAATTTGGCCAACCAATTGAGTCTACCGGCGCCATTGACTTTCACTATTTTAGCAGCATACTACGAAAATGTACCGGGAAGAACAAAGTATGACATATGGTTAATCGTCAACTTGGGCAACGGTTTTATTAAAATATGTCATATCACGGATGCGTTCAAGCCGAACAAGTTTCAATACATTTACGTTAGAAAGATCAAGTGTTGGAAATGTAAGAGGCTCCACCACCACAAAAAACACAAGAAACATCACACAAAGTGTGACAAAAAAGATGACAAAAAAGATGACAAAAAAGATGACAAAAAAGATGACAGAAAATGTGTCTAAAAATTATTTAAATTTATGACCAATATCAATCCTTCTGGAAAATGACTATTTTACATGTAAATTTTTTTGTCCATATTCAAACATTTAATAAAGAAAATATCTTCAGATAACTGCTGCAAAAACTTTGAAGTTTTCATTTTAATATATTTAAGAAAAAAGAAGAACTATCGGCTTTCATGCAAGAAATAATTGCAGGTCATGTATTTGAAAATTCTCTTTACTCACTTGAGCAGATTAGCTAATTGTTTTCATTAGGTAAGGATTTCTATTCGTAAAAGTGCTGGTCAGTGACCACAATATATTCTATTTACAACGAAGCTCTGCATTTTCATTCAATTTTCAAAAATTCTGCATCAACGATTGTGTATTTGCGTCGATATCCGATATGCTGAAATCAATAGCACATCCTGTTGCAAATTGTAATTTGGGTACTTATTCGCAGCGATTCAGTTATAGCCTCTTTGGCATTGCACGAATGGTAGCATTTTATGAATCGAATGTGAGAATATCACGAAAACCTTATTATTGATGACAATGAGCACAAACTTTCTGGTCCACGCATGCCATTCCGAAAGTGTGCTGTGTTGTGATCGTGCCTGAGCGCTAGATTGAACCATTTTATTTATGGCCGCAATAAAAATCATTTTCAATGCAGAAGCGTTTCATTAAGTGATGGGCATAAATGCATTCATCAAATCGTTCTGTATGCAAAAAAAGGAAACATTGAGCACCGCAGCAAGAGATGACGACGACGACGACGTGTATACATTTGACTCGCCACTTGATTACAGTAGTTAACGATCGGTATTTACACGATTTACAAATAGGGAGTGCATTTTGAAATTACGAATGCAGAACCTGCATCGCATAACCAATACATTCCATTTGGTGGTTGCTTTTGTGCTTTCTGTCTTTGCTTTCATGCACACACTTTTTTGTTTTGTCTGGCAAACGCATTTAACCAATGACGGCAGCAGCAGCAGCAGCAGCAGCAACGACAACAGCAAAAACAGTAGCAGCGGCGGTGGCGAATAACACGATGACTGCATTGCACATTTCGGATTTTTTTTCATTAGAACAGCCATAAAAAACTACAATGTACATCAACGTTTTGTTCTTGCCTTGGCCAAAAACGTTCGAAAAATGAATGTATAATTAATTATACAGGGCTTTTTTAGTATCTACATTGAACCAGTTATTATCCGTGCTACAGTTTTTGCCATAGATCTGTTACGCTTTTGCAACAAAAGAAACCCATCTTAACACTTTATGGACATGTGCTGCACAATTTGGAATGGGAAGCTGCATTTCGATTCGATTTCCATCGATTGAGCAAAACCGTTCATTCGTCTTGCTTTCAAACGATCATCGTCAACGTCATCATCATTATCATTCATCGCAGAACCGAAAGCACTTCAAGGCGACTGCAAGAGAGAAAGGACATGGTAATGTGAATACAAAATCACCACTTTCTTGAATGGTTTTAAATTAATAATATTAATTTTTGTGCGGCGAAACGCATCGAAACGTTTGGAGATCGAGTGTTTCTCGGTCTGAATCCATACGTTGAGCTCATTTGCACTCGAAAGCCATTTAGCAAGTGGTCATTTTCAATTCGTAAATTATTGGGTCTTTGTGTTGTAAAAGGTGTACTCTTTTTTATTAGATAGAACGAATTATGTATAATATGAATGATCGCTTGACCCTTGTCATTCACTTGAATAAATTAAATCCGTAGAGAGCATAAAACAGTCGATTGTATCGCGGCGACACTTTTCCTTTGTTCCAATAAGATAAGGTAATAATGAAAAAAAAAACGAAATTGATTACAATCGCTTCAATCCAACGGCTTGAGAGTGCGACACAAAGTGCTGAATATTGATGAGCCCGTAATTAATAAATTATAAGAGAAAATTGTATTACCATCGCGAATAGCGAATATAAAAGACGACACTCGGTGCATCTTCTACACTTAATGAGTTTTCTAATGCGGAAGAATGATTTAAAAAAAAAGAATGTGCGACGTTTGCAACTTATTTTGACGTTGTTTTTCCCCTCATCCACTCACATCTTCTCTTGTCAATTGTGTCTGGTGTTTATTGAAAGCACAACTAAGCGGTTCATATATGGAGTTCATCAGCCGACAGCGGCATGGAGATTGCAATATCAACGATTTAATATGCGGTTTAATGACATTCCATCAACTTAAATGGCTCAACCATCATCGGCAACAACAACATCGCCATCGAAAGAAAAAGCAGATACAAAAAACACGCAAGATTGTATTCCAATCGATCTATTTCGATCCAATTTCACGCATAACAATTATTCAGATTCATTTAAATAATTCGCTTTGACGCAGTTAATTAGCTCGTGCAACGGTACCACATACATCCCCATGCATATATTTCCAATTAATTTATTTCATAAATAAATCACTTTTTATAGCACCCTTTCAGACGCAGTTACAATAACATGAGCAACAATTTGAAATGAATTTTTGTTAACTAGCTTATTTGGCAATCTTTTTCGCATCGGACTTTTCATGCGAGTCTGGTAGCGTCAATATTTCCACACCATGCTTTGCTATCAAAATTGTGTGCTCGAATTGCGCCGTCCGTGAATTATCCTTTGTTACGGCTGTCCATTGATCTTCAAGAACTTTAAATGTTGGCCTCCCTAGGCATAAAATTGGCTCGATTGTGAACGTCATTCCCGGCATCATCACGCCATCGTATGTATTTCCTTGAGGATAGAAATGGGATTGGGAGTAGAGGAAAAGAGCATATTAGCAAATTGGGAAAAAATTGAGAAATTTTGAAATAAAATTAAAATAAATTACAAAAAAGAGTCGAAAATGAAGACTATGAGAAAACGATTTGAATGACAATTGAAATATATCAGAAAAATGGTAAAAGGTAAAGAATAGTTCGATTTTTCAATGAAATTAAAACCAACATAATTAAATGAAGAATTGGAAAAAAAATCAATGAAAAAAGAAAAAATATTTTGAATAAGAAATCAGCAAAAATGCTTAAAATATAGGGTGAAAGCTGTGTAAAATTCAATTTGATAACCTACGATAATGACTAATTTCGGGTTTCCCATGGAAATAAGTGCCGATGCCATGGCCAATGAATTCTTTGATTACTTCAAGACCATTTTGTAATGCATGATCTTCGATTGCAGCTCCAATTTCTTTGAATGGCACATTTTGTCCACAAGCTTCAATTCCTTTGTGCAGACACTCCTCGGTCACTTTTACCAAATGTCGACCTAACGCATCAACATTTCCAATCAAAAATGTTCTAGAGCAATCGCCATGATAGTTATTATAAAATACCTGAAATGGAATATTTTTGTTAATTCAGTCAAGACAATGAATATATACTTGGAGAGTAGAAGAAAATGTGATCAATATTTTCTACAGAAATTTTTTCATGGAATTTTTTCTAATTGAAAGGAAAGTGATGATTTTTTTATTATTATATTTTACGTTATAGATTTACATTTTCGATATGCTATTAATATGTTAATAACCAAAATATCGGAAAATTTCTAATAACTCAAACATAACATATTATTAGATTAATAAGATTCTACGATATTATTAACATATTATCTAATTATTAATAAGATCGCCATTTTATTAAAAAGTTAATAAGATCCATCTTATTATTAATAAGATAATCTTATTAAAATATTAATAAGAAAATCGGATTTTATTAACCAATTTTCAAAAAAAATTGCGAAGAAAAGTTTCATACTAAAAACATATCAAATATCGTCAAACGACGAAATATTGAAGAAAAATGCATCTGACGATATTTGATATGTTTTTAGTATGAAACTTTTCTTCGCAATTTTTTTTTGAAAATTAGTTAATAAAATCCGATTTTCTTATTAATATTTTAATAAGATCATCTTATTAATAATAAGATGGATCTTATTAACTTTTTAATAAAATGGCGATCTCATTTATAATAAGATAATGTGTTAATAATATCGTAGAATCTTATTAATCTAATAATATGTTATGTTTGAGTTATTAACGCCCCGTTAATAATATGTTAATAATTAATAACATTAGTATGTCAATGCCTGTAAATCTATATTTTACGTACGGTAATATCAACATTGATGATATCTCCATCGACCAATGGTCGATCGTCTGGAATTCCATGGCATACAACGTTATTTACCGAGGTGCACACCGATTTTGGGAATCCACAATATAAAAGTGGCGAAGGATACGCATTCGATGCTATGGTTTGTTCATGTACAAATTCGTCTATTTCTTCTGTTGTTACACCAGGCTATGAAATAGAGAAAGATTTTTGAATTTATTAGAAGAGTAAATCGGAACTTTTTTTTAGTTGGAAGTGATTTTTCGTTCATATTCGAAGCCAACTCTATTGTCGACTCTATTGTCGTTTCAACGAAGTTGAAATGTTTTTAGAAAAACAAATGTATTTCCTCACACTAATCATACCTTTAGAATTTGGCCGCATTTATCCAGTATGTTAGCTGCTAATCTGCAACTCTCCCTCATTGCATCGACAGCATTCGGCAATTTGATTTCATTTTTGTATGATTGAAACAGATCGGGTATATCTTGTGCATAAGTATAAGATGGTCTCTCAATTTTATCGGGTACATCTCGTAAGTACGGAGAAACATTGCCTGGACGAACCACTTGATAAACTCCGGTGTCAGTGCTATTCAATTGATCAATTCGATTATTAAAATGATTTTGAGTTTTTGTGCAATAAAATGAGCTTACCTTCCTCCAAATTTAAAAATCTGCCTATAATTTTGGTGCCGACCGTTGGCAATTGTCAGAATTCCTCGTCCAAGTCTGTTGAATAACATTTTTGTTCCGAAACCAAGAAGAATTTGTTTATAAAATTTTTTGAGGTTATGTTCAACGCAGATACTATTTTCACCATTCCGAAACGTCAATGTACGGTTCAGTTTCAACTGACACATCGAAGTGGTCCCCATTCAACAAATTCACTCACAACATTTCAAAACATTGAAATTTAGTTTAGAAACACAGCAAACACGCAATCAAAAAATGGAAAAGAAGCGAGTCATAAAGTATATTCTGAATGAGCAAAGTTTGATCGAAAACAAGCCAAAGCCATGTATGGTGGCCGGTTGTTCATCGAAATTCACCAGTTTGAGCAATTTGAATATGCATCTGGAGAAGCATCACGGTGTTCAAGTGAAGAAATTAATCGATACCGAATCCGAAGTGCAATACTTTTGTCCAATACCAAAATGCAAATATAATGTGCTGCAAAATCAAAGTTTGCAATTTTTCAAATCACGTAAATATCTGCGGCAACATTACCTAAAAGTGCATGCAACGAAAAATGAACAGTGCTCCAAGTGTGATAAGTCATTTGCGAATGTGTCGCTGAAAACACTGCACGAACGCAGCTGTGGAATGTTGTTCAAGTGTTTGGATTGTAATTGGGAATATACGACGCGGGAGTGTCTGCTAACGCATTGCCGAAGGAAAGGTCATGCAGTGCCACCAAAGCCAGCGAAACAGATTAAAATTGAAACCAGTCCAGTGGCAGCTGATTATCCAAGCGTCAAGGTCGATGAAAATCACACAGAAATTATTATTGCACCCAAGGAACAAACGACAGAGAATAAAAACCAAACGAATGTTTTGATAAAGAAAGTGCAAAGAGTTCTGAAGAACACGCCAGCAGCTAAAATCCGAGCCAATTTCCAGAAGATTTTACAAAAAAGCCGTACGATCTCTGGCACGAAAGTGTCACAAACAACGCAAACAACATCAATGAGTGTTGATAAGGATTCGGTTATTGAATCACGGTCAAATGAAAAGTACAAAAGTTTGGAGTTGATTGACGAAGATTCGGTTGAAGATTCGACCAAAGCGAATCAAAATTTGAATAATCTGAGCTATGTGGAGGATGAGAGCAGCTTGTATTACTTCACCGTAAATAATTTCAATGCTGGCCTATGTCATATTGAAACACAAACGGATTTGTTACCATTTGATGAACCAAACATTGGTACGAGTGATATGGATCCATTGCTTTGTCACATGCACACACAAACTTCGGATGATATACTGACAGAGCTGGGGCTGTCCGATATTCAAACACAAACCAATTGGCCACACGATGAGTGTAACGACATTTTCGTATCGACCGAAACTCAAACCTGTTTTGATAGCCATCTGATTATGGATAACATTTCTACTCATACTCAAACTTCCATAAACTGTGATAGCTCGACAAGGCCAACGTCATCGAGGTGGCTCAATAATATTCAACATCAATTCACACAAACTTTGTCGGAACCGTGAATTTTACTTTTGTATGAGCTCAAAGAGCGAACATGCTTATTTATTTATCTCATTTCCTTGAAACACATCACAAATTCAATGAAAATCTCAATAAAAACCCTCATTTTCGACTGAAATTATCGCATTTTTTTTTATTAATCCAAAACGATTGAAGGGAGAAAGTTTAAATGTCAAAACGGTAAAGTTTAGAAACCGATTTTAAATTGATCGAAAGTGGATAGGTATTGTCTTAGGCTTGTGTTACTGCTTTTGCCGGTGGTTTTTGAATGGGTAAGAACAATTTGAATTCAGCTGGGAGTTCATCTTCCGAATAAAGTCGATCGGAGAAGTAAACGCGTCGTATTCGGCAATTAGCGTGAATCTGTACACGCAACGTTTCAACATAGTTGGTGCCGTAAGCTCGTCGTGTAAAATCGGACAGGTTGAATTGGATTTGGTTCCATCCTTCGTCCAATCGCATCGGCATCGTGCAAATAAATGGCTTTACTCGTGTCGTCGACTGATAATTGCTCGCTCTGAATCGCCTCCTCACATTTTTATCGTCTAAAATCTGAAGGAAAGAAAAACAATTTCTTTAGTATGACGTTTCCTAGCGACCGTTCGGTCGTCGCCAACTTGATGCAACTCACTTGTACTTCAAAGGTGAAATATTTCTTCAGATTTTTGATAATCATCACCAGAAACGGTAACTTGATGCCCAATGTTTTCTTCGGATCGGCTGGACATGTGATATATGTGGTGCTTACATTTGTGCCAACAATTTCCAATACCAAGCTCTGAATGTCATTGTCGGTGATTCGCTTGATGTGACCATTTCGCACTTTTTTATCCCAGATTTGCAGTGGCTTACTACCAATACTGTATAATATCGACAAGAACCCTGATTGAAACGTATTTTTAAACATGATTACTTGAGATCCACGCACTTGAAACTTATTTTTTCTGTGTTTTATAGCACCGTTCGATGCGTCGTTCTGTTTGATATTTAATTTAGGTTAATGTTTTGTTGTTTCGCTTAGTTGCCATTGAGACAGAATGAGAATGAACTGTCAGACGTCAGTGTGTGGTAGAGGGTGCGTTCGGAAATTCACCACATCGCTCAGATCGATTCGGTTGAAGAGAATGATTTGATAATGAGAATTTTAGTTCTCTTTTCCATTTTTGTTTTCATTTTTTGAATAAAAGTTTCGCTTTTTATTTAGACAAATAAATATTTTATTATAAATTTTTTCTTATAAAATTGTTCATTCCGTTTGCTTATGAATGTAACGCTTAAATCTTAGTCATTAGTGGTTAATGAAGAGTTTTTTTGTGGGATTTTCATCGCAATTCAAATTTTAAATTTTTTTTTAAAATTTCGTTGAATCGAGCTCGCTGAATCTATAGAAAATCCATTGAATTTGATGAAATTTTAAATTTTACCGTGAACTAAGAGCTAGAGCATAAATTCTATTTGATAATTAAATGTTTAGGATTTAAAAGAATATCTGTGTGAAATAGTTTCGCAATGAATGATTTATATGTTGTTTTTTCTCTAAAATAATTAATCACGAGAGCTAAAAGAATCTAATGATCGCCTTCCATCATCACTAAATGCAACAAAGGATACAGTCTATAATTTTTTTTTGGGGGAGAAGCATCGTCATCAGATTTAAATTAGTCAGGCATTTTACTTTATGTTTTCTAAATTATTGTCAAGTTTACTTAAACACGAAATTTGTATGAAAATTGTTTAAATTCATTTGTTCTTATTCGATTTAAGTCTGTGGAGACATTTGTATTATTGAAGCACCGCTCGGCCGGCATAACCTTTTGATGGAATGTAATCGTCTATGGTTTTTCGACTGACATTTTGGATTTTCGAAACCAGCGAACAAGACTGAAAAGAGAGAATGTGTTTCTAATTTAATGGTAATTTTACAAATAAATCAAGCAATCTCAGTTCTATTGGATGGATGGACCATTCATTAGTTCAAAAATTCGTATTTTTTTTCAATATATTCGGAAATGATTTTTTTTTCAATCTATCAAATTCTGGCTTGATGACGGAAATAATTACCAGTATTGTTGACAATGTGAGCAACAGAGCCAAAAGACCGGAAATCATAATAAAACTCTTGCACTGATCATCATCCTGATATTTCATTTGATCGTAATCGCCCGGTAACATCACCGAATATTCAATGTTCTCTTTGAACTTTGCAAAGTCAGTCAGTGTGTTTGTATGATTTTTATCGCTGTCATCGGAAATTGCACGCCGTCTTCGCCCATGGCCAGATGGTTCAAACAAATCCAAACAGAAGTCGGGCTGACAATCAACCGCTTCCATACAGGCTTTGATCTAAAATTTGAAATAAAAACATTTAAAAAAAATACAATTAGGGTACTTTCGATTATATCAAGAGAATTTTTACACATCTTATCTTCCGCTACATTTTATTTCAATTCAAAATTAAATATCATGGTAATTTTGATTTTTTGCTAAAAATTTGAGTTTTTGGTAGGTAGCTAACTCAACACATTGTGTAATTCGACTGGCAATTTATAATCATTTCAAACATTGACTTACTTGTGAATGAATCCAAAGTGTGCTTCTTTCGCGCATTGAGCTCAGTAAAAATGCTTCAAAATCGAGGAATACTTCGTTTGATCTCTCACGATATCTTGCAGGCTAATGACGAATTAAATCAATTATGTGAAAATTGTCAAAATTTGAAAAAAGAGGAGAACACTTTTTAAAGAAATCTTCTTTTTGTCTTACTTGATGTGGTATAATTGAGGCGAAATCTCTATTTCTGCAACCATCGCGAACTAAAGCAACTGAACCTGGGGCATGTGGATCATCTGGATCGGGTGAGACCTGAAGAAGTGGTTTGAATTGAATGAAAAAAGTTTGGAAAAATACGAAAATATGAGTACGACGAAGAAACGTGTGAAGAAATATGTAGAAAAAGTTCAATAAATGTTCTCTTTTCAGAGAGAAAAATGATAAAAAATCAAAAAAAATCGAAAGAAAATGAACCAAGAACAAAAAAACAAACAACAAAAGAAAAGATAAATTCCAACTTACTGTAACTTCCATCAATTTAACGAACTTCCATACGCTCTGAGTACTGATTCGAGCACGCAATTGTAATTTCGTGCCAATTGGTACAGCTTGATCTACCGGCAATTCATTTTGGTTCATAATGGCTTGTTGTTGCTTTGTTTGATTCTTCAAATGTGCGCTCATTGCCATATTACCATTAATTCTTCCGATCGGCGGAGCTTCTTTGTAAAGAGCGACTTCGTATTCCAAGCGGCCGGGTGTCTCTTCAACGACTCCTGTTCATGATTAGTAATTTGTAGCATAATTTCAAACTTTCTCTCAAGATCTGATTTATTGATTAAATTCTATAATTTCACTTCCTCAACCGGAATTCAAGTTGTTGCAACAAAAAGAAAACTAGGTGTTGTTTTTCTACAAATTCTCAATCATTTTGTTTTACCTGAAACGCGAGCACCACCCGGAAATGAGCCAGCAAAACCGGCGGCCTTATTTTGTATGACTGTTGGCTCGGGTGGTTTGCACATGATAATCAATTCTTGGTCCGATTGCATCACAACGCCGGGAAATTGTGGGAACCAAATGCGTACGTGAACAAAGCCCTAGTCGAATTATATAAAATGTTGGGTGTGTTTGTTATTTTTTTTTATGTAAGTTTCACTGACACAAATCACAGTTTATCTAAGATTTTATCGCTTACATTGCGTTTAAGAACGCCACATCGTGAGAAATCCGTAATTTTGAGTACGTATGCAATGTTCTCTGGATCACCGGATTCAGGTCGAATAGAACAAGCTCGGTCGACTTCAGGATTTACATTTCGATCATCGGCAAATAATGGTGAGCCCTTAAATCCAACGGGTTTTTTCAATCGAGCCGTTATCATGTCGGCTGTACTTGAGGTGGTGGTTGCGAATGAACACTGGATTTCACTCACTTGAATGAAATTAGATCGACCGATTAGTTATTATTCATGAAGAAAAAAAAATTCCATCTTTAATTCAACTTACCATCATAGTCTTGTGCTGTGGTTGAAAGTGGTAAAACCTGTAGTAGAATGGAATGAATCAAATGTTTATATAAGTTTGTGTGGTTCGATTAATCACATCGAAAGTATGTTTTGATTCTTTGAAATTCATTGTTAATGCCTACTTTGATATAGTTAGTAAATGACGGAAAGTTCCAAGTTAGTAGCAATAGCGTAATTGAGTGTGGCTCTATTTAATTTTCTCTTGTTGGACAATATGAAAAATGATTAATGATTTGATTGGGCTAGTTTTCGCCGCTAAATTTCAAGAACTCTATCTAAAGGTTGAATTTCTATAATCATTCATTCGTCTTATGAATCCATTGCAAAGTGAGACGAAAAGTACTTCTAATTAGCTGCGCAGCAAAATCTTTCGCAGAAGCGTAGTTTTCACCATGGATTGTCGAATTCACAACGAACCATAACAATTCACAACAAATCAACGTACAATAATAATTTGGTGAATGCGAGAAAAAAAAACACGTCCGAATTGTTTGCAAAGTGACGCGAATTGTGTCTCCCACTGGACAAAATTGATTCACACGAAACTCATAAGTCGCCAATTTGATACTGTTATTCGCAATCACAATAGCAAATGCTTTTTTTTATTTCAGTGTTGCGGTTCTTTTTGACTCACCTAGCGTACGTTTGTATTACCACCGGGTTCAATAACACAACATCTATTTTGTGAATGAATATCGAACCGCTTTGACGTTTTTCGGAGCGTGCAATATTTTCAATTTTATTTAGAATGAAAGTTTTTAATTCTTTTCATTTTGCGTGAGAAAATCTATCTAATTGGCGTCAACACCACCCAATGGTGCGCATTCGATTCTAGCGGTAATCTGTCTATACTTGTTCTATGTAAATAAGAAAGCAAAACCAATTCAACCACGGATCGCTGACCATTTGTAGCGTTTCATTTCTTTGCGAAGCGAAACAGTCGTGTTTTTTTTTGTCGTGAATTCTATGGATTGGTGCTCTTTTGTTTGTTTGCCTTTTTTTCGAGACATTTATGGAACAAAAAAATGCATCGCGGAAGTGAAGCTTTACCAACGAATGAGTATTGTTGGGTTCTTGAAACGTACTTCCATTGAAATATTCTTATGGTTCAAGAATGAAAACTTCGGAAATTCGGAATGAATTCTTTGGAAATTAGTGAGAAAGATTCTTCGTTTGAAAAAAAAGTTTAAAGGAAATTCTCCGGAAGCTCCCTAATTCTCCCTAAGAAGTACTATGTATTCAGAGGAAAATAAATATCATCTCGAAATGGTCAATAGAATTTGAATGGGAACTTGAGTGCATCGAATTTCCCAAAATAGCTCATCAAAAAGACAACGGTTTTTTCATTGTTCTATTTTGAAATACAATGATGACAATAGAAGCCGCTAAATTAAAATGTTGACACCAAAACAAACACCATTATCTGTCAAACTGTTTAATTAATTTAATCCGCAATCTACGAATAAATAAAGCACCTGTACGTGGTTTTGACACGGTTCAGATGGAGAACATCTAAAATTATGTTGTTCCTTTTGCATGCAGTCACTCAAAAGTGGACCAACAATGGTGATCTTAATGTGAAATTGTGTAATTTGTCATCATACACATCTCTTGACTACACGGTTAGTGTTACGCGTTTGTCGGTGCATGTTGCTCTGGGTGCACACACTGAAATAGAAATGCTGACCGTAACCGTATAATTCCAGATTTTAACATCATTCTGGATAAAAAAAAATCGCTGAAAACACAAGATACCGTTTCAAAATGACTCATTTCGGCCGAGATTGTGTGAAAATGATATTTAAAATTCAAAATGTACACATATGCTAAGAGCATTTAAAGTGACAAATAGTCTCTTATAATCAGGTTAATCGCTTGTGTTCGAATTAACGAGAATTTCCGCGTCTCAAATTCATTCATCACCTTCAAGAAGAACAAATTAGGCAAGCGTGCTCAGAGGAAGAAAAACAGAGAGGTTTGAGATAAATTTGGAGTAGTTCTTGTTACTTGGTAAGCACCGAGTGAGTCAAACATTTGTTGCCAGGGAAATAAATAAAAGAAATGGTAGTAACCATTAACATTTGAATTTGAACGGCATAAACATTTTCCGGTGATGGGTCGAAATGTGTAAATAGTTGGGCGCTAGTTAAATGTCACAACAAATTAACATGCATTGATAGTATCAGAATTCCGGGTAACCTTAACAAGATCAACACTTCAGCTGAACAGAACGAACGTGCGGCCGGTCGCCGGTTTTGTTGTGCAAACAGCTGTTTAAATGTGTGAAGAGAACAATACGAAATATAAACGTCTGGTCGTTTATCGTTTTCTTTCATTCATTCAATTGTTTCTCTTTCTTTCCATTTGAACAATCCATAAATAGTTACGGCGTTAAAGAAGCGGTCGATAATAGAAAGAAAAAAACAACAGCCGAAGAAGCGAAGAAAAAAACCGAGTACAACTCAAAAGTGTAATTAAAATCAAAGCAAACAGCTCATTTAGAACATTCTATGGAGACGTTTACGTTGATTGTCTGGTCATCCGTATGGGAATGGCGAAGAAAGACGATGAAAGAGAGACATGGAGAGAGGGAGAGGGAAAGAAAGAATAAGAGAGAAAAAAGCGTTGAATTCGTTCGACGATGTTGGTTTATTGTGTGTGATTAAGCGTTAAAGTAATTTCGAAATGTTGCGCTATCTTTATGTTGCGGCTTTTGCGGCGCGCATATTCTCGTTGTAACTGGAACTTTATGAGTGGTTATCTCTTCTTCTATGTTTTTTTTTCTCTTTCTTCCTCTTCTCAGCTTCTTATACTATACTATTTACTTTCTTTAGCAGATTGTGTTACACTTAAATGCTAAGTACCGCTACCAAAAATGCCCATGTCTATACTTTGACGTTCCTTCCTCTCTTCGCACCGAGCGAAGCAACAACAAAAAAAGCAAACATAAAATTGACTTTTTTCTTGGAAAGAGAATTCGTTTAAAATTTGTTACTGTTGTACTTTGTGCTCTATGGCCTCATGAAAAATGGTCCGGCTTTTCGTCAAAATCTTGTTGGACGCGGTAATTACATGACGTGTAAACAACACGTCGAATTCATCAGAAGAAAGAAAACTTATTATTATTATGTAATGTGTGAAGGAATAACTGTGCTCGCTCCATATCATATCAGTTAAGATCACGTGTTGCGTGCTCTGGAGCGACACACTCGTCCAAAACATGACCGAAACATGAACGAAATATAACTGCAGGTGCGTTAAACATTACGGTACAATACGTATAATGACCGGAATTTTCAAAGTACAATGACGCATATTTATATCAACTGGACGCTTGGCTTTGGGCATTGCACTTGGAAAAGTGTTTGTTTTGGCCATGCAACGGTCATTTCCATTTGACGCTTTTTTGTCGGAATTTAACTTGAGGCTTTTGAACTTTACAGTATTTTGGCTGCTTTTTTCATTCGTTTTCCAACGACATCTTTTGTTGTTTGGTTTTTCACTGTTTGTTGTTTTTCGAACTCAGTGCTTCTGAACGGTTCTTCACAAAACTTGAAAAAAATGTTACTAAAATAGAAGAAAAATTTAAACAAATCGTATTTTTTCGGAATTTTTCTTGCTTTCTCACTCTTTCTCTCGCTCTCTGCTCTCTTGAAAATCAATCTGTTATTTTTCATTTTCATCTTATTCTCTTTTTTCGTCTTGTTTCACTTCTCTCTCTTTTTTTTCCTATGTTTTCAACCTCTTCCTCTGTTTAGAACATTCGAATGCAAAAAATGTCAATTCGATAAATTGACGCGCTCATCATTGATTATAATCGATGAAAATAATTGTTTTCTCTTAATCAATTCCATTAGAGAATATTGATTTGGCTTGGAACATGAATAAAATGCCTTTCTAAATGAGAGAGCGTGTGTAATAAATTGGAATTAATTAAAATGATTAATTGATGACGAGTAAACAATAACCTATTACGAAAAGAAAATCCGCCGAAACAATTCAACAAGAAGACCGAAAATTCAATTATTAGTTTCTCGAATATCTTCATCCCTCGAGCGAAATCGGTGAATTGTGAACTTAAATTGAAATTTAATTATGTGTGTCTAATCGGCCTTAAAATCTGCAGTGCTCAAATAGTAAATTCGACGGACTGAAAGCGCTTGTAATCTCAATTGGCAATACCGTGCCATTCGATGTGCCATTACACTTGTGCCGAAGCCCGGAAAAGAAGCCAAAATAGAAGCCACACATTTCTTTTTCACTGGTGGCCATAACAGAAGCTGTTGGAAAACTTTCGCAGTTTTGTGTCTTTAGGCCAAATCGATGAAAAGTGATTTTGTGTCCGCATTTTTTTCTGTTTGAGTAATTTCGATTTTGTTTTACAGCTTTGACACTCTTGCTGTGATGAAACAATGTGGAGAATTTCAGCGTTTGTTCCAGATCTATAATATTTATGGTTGTTACTATTGCAATTTTCCGTAATTATTTACTGTCAAACAATTTCTGGGTCAAAACAACAAAAAAATGCGCAGCACTGTGTGAGAGATCGAGAGAGTTGCCTTTTTTTCGGCGAAATTGTGATGGAAAAGAAGTCACCCAAACAGAGAGACGCAAAAAAACACACACACATAGTCTAATCCACATGAGTAGCAAACGAAAAAGATAGTTTTATATCGAGTAATTTGGGTGTTTTTTTTTTCTCGCTATTTGAGAAATGAGAAAATAAATAATTGCGCACATATGAATCGACACACACACCCAGTCGGAGACAATTGCATGGAGAGAAAAAAGAAAACGCGCACAATTTTAGAATATCTAGCAAATAAATGTATGTGAATTCGGATGAAAGTTCAATTTGGATGTTTTCATTTTTGTTTTGTGCGCGCCCGCGTTTTTTTTCTTCGTCTTTCTTCTTTCTCTCTGTCTTTGAGCTAAGTTTGAATGAGAATCATAGTAGTTTTTTTTTCAGTAGCTTATTAGTTGGTGAACAGAGTGAAGTCAAAAGTGCGTGAAATGAGTGACTATGAGTACCGAAAATTGTTTCACTTTTTCTTTAGAAATTGCCACAAAACGCCCAATTCAGTGATTTGTTGGGAGAGCGAAGCAAAAAAAGAAAAGAAAAGAATTTAGTGTTTATAGCAATAATTTGGTTGATATTGCCAGACACCAAATTATGTTGTTGCTACTGGAAATGACGAACGCACCCAAAACAATAATCGTAGTGCGTAGTGCGTTAAGTGCGAGCATAAAGAATCTTTGCTTTAAAGAGAGCATTAACCGGATTTCAGCATGCCAATGAGCAAATGAAGTGGTAAATTTAACTGAAATTAATTTTCAATCTGATCGTGTTTTGTTCACCGCAATTCCATCGACTACGTTCTAATAACAATGGGCGAGTTTCTGGAGCATCGTCATGTTTTTGCGATTAGAATGTCGAAAAAAAAACGAGCAAACGATTCTTGAACAAAAAATCACACAATTCTTATTCTAAGCAAACAATTCTCGGGGCATCGGCAAAATCCGCATCATGCGTGCGTCAGTTATTTTTCTATTGAAAGAATCGCAACGGCTTTAATTTAGTTAATGCTCCATGAATTATGCATGATTGTTGGCGTGGATGTTTATTATATGTGGGGTTCTGCGAAGTCGTCAAAATCAATTGCGCCACGCGCAGTAAATGTCCGTTTGCTTTATTATTCAAATGATAATAATTATGCACTTGCTGCCGCTGCCGCCGCTTTCGTTCGCAATGAAATTCAAATCAAGTTTTTTCTGCTGCTATTCATTCATAGCCATGGTATAAATATTGCTTCGGTTTGCCGATTCATAAGAAGAGGCGATATCAAAAGTGTACTCACCGTTGAAATAAAAATCAAAATCACCAGCTGCATCGTTCTGAGTAAATCACCACTGTTTGATTTCATGTTTGCCATTAAATAATTACGGTTACGTTTCGATTCACTTTTGTTATGATTCAAAGACAGTGGCATTCTAATTCTAATCTATTCAAGATCTATCTGTTGGTTTTTTCTGCGTTTGTTTGCGCTTATTTCCTATTCGTTTGTCTGTTGTTTTTTTTTTGCCTATTCGTTTTGTCTATTTTTTTTCTGCACAATCGTTACTTTGAATCAGAGTTTTTCTGTAATTGCTTTCCGTCGTCGTTATCACTTTAATTAATATTTTTATTGCAATAACACTTGAAGGCACCACGAATCGTTCGTCCAATTTGAGGTAAAAATGATTTGTACATTGCAACAATAAGAACAACAGCAAAAAAAAAATCAGTCCTGAAAATATAAAAAGAAACGGTTAGTTTTTCATCATGATCAAAGAAACAAAGTAATGATTTAGCAAATGATCGTTAGAAAAAAAATGAGAGAGAAAAGAATTGATTTGTGAGATGAATGCATTGATTGTGGGAACAATTGAAGAAGATCTAACGAGATTTTAATTAGCTATAAATTTAGCTCATTTTCACACACACACACACACACACACATACGGAGAGAAAACGAAGCAGAAGCCAATAATGCACTGCATTGATTTATGATGATCGAATGGGTTGAGTGTTGGAAAAATTGGATTTTCTTTCATCTCTCCAACTAGTAACCTAAATTACGGCCCAGAAATACTGTTTCGTTTTTTTTCTTCTTCTTTTTTCTGCAATGTGAGTGGATGATTAGAAGAATTCTTTGTCGATTATGTGGTTTTTCTTTTGCCTACACATTCAAATGCTGTTGTGACTGTTATTGTTGAGAGAGAGTCAATGAGTTGTTGTTTACTTAGTTGTAAAGAGTTGTTAAAATGGTGAAAGAAAATCTTGTTATCTAATCGCCACTAATCACAACTATAAACTACTCATAAAACGTTATGGAAACGTAAATTGGTGTGCAGCATCAACAGCATTTAGATCAGACCAACCGAGCTGTTCGTGTAGATATCGGTAAATGTCCATTGGGAGTGCAATCAAAAGCAACGGTACATTTATCGCCAGTGGTGAAAGAGTCGTTTGAAATAAAACAACATCGAAAAATTGCTTAAACCGATATATATGCCAAATTGAATGCATGCAACGAAAAGCCATCCAATTCAAGGATTTATTTGTTCTACTCTACTCGAAATTGAAAAAAAAAATCTGGTGTAACTAGCCGAAAACGGTTAGATATGTTCTATTCTCGGTTTTTATTGTTACGCTCCTTGAACGAAACGATCAATTCGCGAATATGCGAAAAATTATGACAGAGAAAATATGTGAGCGCACGCTTTTCACTTTAGACGAACGAACGTTCGGGCACAAGCGCAAACTCATCGACTCGAAGAAATTGTTTCACGGAATGCATCACAAAATGTTCGTAATGATTTTTGAAGAGTTGCGTGCAGCTGTGGAATGCATTCAAACGAATAATTATATTAGAATTGCATTAATAATTTCTCTCTTTTTTTTCGATGTTGTCTGTCTTGAACAACAGCCAATCGTGTTCTTTGTCTGATTCTGAGCATCATCCACTCGTATGAACTATTTACGTCACTTTGTGTGTAGTTTATGTATACGGATTTTACGGTAAATTCGCACAAATCGTTGATTTTGCTCAATATGTTTATCTTTTTGATATTTTTTTTTTATCTTTCTCTCCCTCGCGAATGTAAAATTGATCGAGTGACGTTTTTGAAAAATGGCCTACAATGAGCGCGGTCAAATCAACACGGTGCTAGACGCATTCTGGAGAAGCGCGCACATGACTACGACTTCTGTTTACTGATTGAATTATTATAACATAATTAGAAAGCAATTATCGTACGTGATTCCGTTCAAGTTGTGTGTCCAGTTGGATTTCGCACTGAGTTCATAACTCGATCGTTCTTTTTTCGGCTTCTTTTTTTATTGGCAAGTTTTTTGCGTCGTTTAACTACGTTATAAACAGATTTTTTTTTTTTCGTCTATCTTCTCTTTTATTGAGAGTCACACACAATGTGTCAATTGCTTGTGTACACTAATTTCATATACTTTGTCGCGCACTTGATAAAATAGACTTCGTTCGCTAAGATTCTTAAATAGAGCCGAGCAATTGAAGAAATTCACACTGAATAAATTTCCGTCTGCTTTCGTTGAGCGTCCAAATTCAACTGACACAATACCATTAACTATCAGAACACAAAATATACACACCGAGTCGAGTGAGCTCTCTGGTTGTACAAGATAGATCGGTTTTCTTTTACTATTTCTCCATTTCTTTTTCTTTGGCTCTTTCTTTTTACATCACCTTTCTTCCATGTAGCCGGAACGCGAGCGCACGGTGTTGCTGTCGAAGTATGTTTTTCTTATGTTGTCTTGTGAGCTCTCGCGATTTTGGTTTTTTTTTCGTTGCTGCTTCGGTAGGCCTTCCGCTTGTTTCCCTATCACAACACGGTTGTTGTTGTTGCTGCTGCTGCTGCTGTTCGAAACCATCATATGATGATAATACCATTATGATATGCAATTCATATAGAATTTTTTCTCTCTCCTCCGTTCGTATGCCTAACTGTTTAACAATGTGTATCGTGTGCGCGAGCTTCGTTCATTGTGGCATGCATTTTGATTGTGCTTTATGTGGTTCGAAAACGATGAAGATAGAAGTCAAGTGTAACATTATTTCAACCACTTAAAATACATACAATTTACAGACAATCAATTGCAACTCAATACATATTTTTACACGTGTTAGGCAGCGCGTTGATCATCATAATAATGGTGTTTGTGACTTTGATTCCAGAAGGCAAATGAAAGCATTCATCTATGTGTGGCAGCAAGTGTGGAAAAATATGAAAATTGAGTCACTGGCGTATTGTTCTTGCGCTCACCGTTCTCACCGAACTGCATGGCGGCAATTCATCAACAAACACGAGAAAAATTCTATATTGCATGTTAAAGTTTGATTTGTGCGGAAGCTTGGCTGGAAGAAAAAAAACCAACTCAGAAAAAATTTAACTTTCTTCTGCACTCGATGTGTTTTTGTCGTCTATTATTTACTGATATTTTTCTTGTTCTCAAACCCATTGTCTTTAAATCCATTTCTTTTTTTCTTTTCTTTCGAGGCTAAACTCGGTTTCGCGCCGTTTGCATTTTCTGTTTTTTTCTTTGTTCGTACTGAAACAGATTTGTGAAATAATGCCAATTTTCTCCGAAGAAATGCCAAATATTCGAGAGACAACAATGCAACAGCTGCATACTTGGCTAATAATGATTTTATTTAGATGATTCGCTCGAGCCGGCACGAAAACTATGCGAATGATTTTTTGAATCATTTTCGGTATTTACTACGCAGATCGTCAAAGAATTTGTAGTGTCATTCATATTGTATAACGAATTGTTGTTATCCAATTTCGAAAAACATTATGAATTCAGTCCTAACTTCTATTGAACTAAAGTTATTGTGTGTGGTCAATGAGTTCGCCCAAATTCAAAGTGGCACGTCTGCATCACCACCTCTTTGAACCAAAAAAAGAAAAACTACGCCGAATTTTTGTTTTCTCGTTGATCTTAATTCAACTGTGAAATATAAACCATGCGCTTTTCTTTTGAATATCATCAGAGCATTGCAAAAAAAATAGAAAATTCGTAATCTATCCAGTAGTTTCACTTCAGCGCGCGCTCTCTCTCACCGAGATGCCGAAAAAGAAGTGTGTCTGCGCATGATGTTTGTCCCAAAAGAATGAGCAAATTACGTTCGACAAAATAAGATCATCGTAACAATAATATTACGATGTGTAAACGATAATTTTTAGTGTAAAATCAATTATATGCCCTACAAAACGGAATTAAACAAAACAACAAATCGTTCGCTCGCTTTCTTGACGCAACACAGCACAGGAAGAGAGAGAGAGAGAGAGAGAAAGAGAGAGAGAGAGAGAGAGAGAGAGAGAGAGA